ATTAATTAATTAATTAATTAATGAATAAAAATTCAATTCCATCTCCTTCTCAATAAATAAATCGACCCATATCAAATCAACCAGCAGTAGACAGCTGCATAATTTCATTGGAAGACGATCGAATCCGAATGCAATGCCTCCCGTACCCAGTGATCAATAACAATCATATCAATTGATCTATCGCAATTGACAAACCCATAGAAATCAATCGATTTCATAAAGAACATTGGATGATCCCAGCATCCAAACTGCACCATCCGCAGCACCAAACCCATCAAAACAATCACAAATATCAAAATAATCACGAATAATACCAAAATAATCACGCAACCACGCAACACCGAAGCAACCGCACGAGACTGAGCCTAACCAATGAAATGAAACTGATTCCATTCCATTCTCGTATTTCTATTCAATACGCTCGTCTCACACGTACCAGCGAGCAATCGATCTCTACTCTGATCAACCTACTGATCAAAAAAAAACCGATAAAAATGATCAACTCAAATCATTTGATCAGATCATCATAGTCATATCATAACCATCAGAATCCCGAGGAAATCAGTTGATTTTAAGAAGAGAATGTAATTTCAACATCGAGACCGTACCATCGCAATACTAAATCCACCAAAGCACTCACAAATACCATCAAATCCACGAGATTAAGCCTAACCAATGAAATGAACCACCAATCCCATTCTCGTAACCTCACCCTAACGAGCGATTTTTCTCCCATTTACACCACCCACCCCTCGACTGCCCCTCTGGGCTGGTCGATTCGCCAAATCCCGAAATCCCCTTAAACCACCACCCCAAAACACCTGTAATTATCGCCATTCCACGCTAATTACGCTAAATCTCTTAACGCAAACTCCCTAAATCTCCTCCGAATCCAAGTCTACTCCAAATCCCTACACTCCTAAATCCTCCAAAACCACCTCAAAACCGAAACTCTCTCTAAATCCAGGCCCAACTGCCGAATGCTCTCCTTAAATTCACCACTTTAAACTCCAAAAAACACTCGTTTAAATCAAATTCTCTTCTGTATTCCCTTAAAACCACCTATCCATCAACAAAAAACACACCAATTTACAAGGACAACCAACCACTCGAATGGATGGATGACCGCCGCCACCGCCTCCACCGCCCCGTCAAGGACGTTCAAATAAATAATATACATTTAAACATTTAAACTACCTCATCTCCCAACTACAATAAATAAATAAATACCTTCCACACTCCTTCCAAAACTCCACCTCTACAAACCACTCACAAATGGCTAACCAATTAACTCACTACCAAAACTAATACTTACAATTCAGCCACCACCTACCTCCAAATCTCCACAAAAAATTCACAAATCACCTCAAACCACGAATATATCTCAATTTTTTCTACTTAAACCCTTCAAAACAAGAACACTTTCGAATATATGATCCAAATTTTTATTTATTCCAGCCATATTTCAATTCCAC